ATATGTCATGTATGTCCTATCTGTGAAATTTAAACGTTAGCAGTGTCCTAATATTCAAATTATGCAAGGAAACTCGTTTACTTGCTAGACTTCACTGTCAGACACTGTTGAGTGACTGACTGGCTTATTTTTCTTCTTTGGTAATGACATACATAAAATGAGCTGTAAAGGGTGCTTGAGCATTTGTCTACATCAATAACCCACTTCTTGTAATGGCCAAAATTAAACTGATTGAAGCTTTGCACAGCATTAAATGTACGACCATTCGGTACAATGGTCTGAAAAATCAGACTATTACTTATTGGCTCTATAGCTCCTAAGTCGATTTGACAACTAATAGTCGTTATTTTCCCACTTAAAGACATTTTCAAGCCCCCCCCCCCTTTTTTTTAGAGAAGTTCTAAATTAGTATTATCTTTCAAATGCCGTTGGAATTTAAACTTTTCATTTTTTTGACCTGCAAATGGGACTTAGTACCTTTACCTTTAACTGCACCATTCTCTGCATCCTAATTTGCCATCCACCTAGTGTCTCTAATCCCTTCAGAAGTAAGACAAGTCCCCTGGTCAAATTGGGTCTGTTTACACTCAATTAACTGCACATCTCAGGTATGCAGCCATTACATGCACAGAGATCCTTCAACCTAACATATTTGGCATTCACACGCAAGAAGCCAAGACTCCTGTGCAAGAGGATGCTGAATGTACAGTATGGTAGAGTTGGGCATCTCAGAGATCTCTATATTAAAGGCATTGTTTAACAATGTTAAATCTGAGATGCATGGCCCTACGTGTTATCAGAGTCTGTGATACGGTGTGATATTGCTCTAAAAAAATTGAGGTTCAAAATAATCATGAAGTGCCTCAAAAAGTAAAAGTCGTTGAGTGACCCGTTTTTACCATACTCATTGTCCCCAATAGACTGTATTGTTATAAAAACCGTTAGGAAAACGAAAAATGAAATTATGAAAATATCTTGATTATCAAACATGCGGTCGGCATGTAAAAGTCTTGGGATTCCTGACTGACCTAAAGGTCTATAATTATGATCGCAGCATGAGCTAAATCCAGGATTTTGTTTCAGAATCTGAGGCAATGTTTAACATTGAGTCACTTTAATATCTAATGACTCTCATAAGTCGAAATGTCATTGAGATATCAGATGTCAGATTTACATCATATAATTCACCAATACCACCAACGATGATGCCTTTTGCTTTCCGGATGTGTGCCACAACTATGAATACATTGGGGTCATAAATGACCATTGTATATTTCTTCCTTGCAGAGAACCTCACTCTTTTGATGCTTCAGAAATCTTAATTGCAACATGGACATGATTGCAACTTGGACATGATTGAAACATGGGCATGATTGCAATATAGACATGATTAAAATATGGATATGATGATTCCAATAAGGACATGATTGCAACATGGGCATGATTGCAATATATGGACATGATCGCAACATGGACACGATCGCAACATGGACAAGATTGCAATTAAGAAGAGATCACCCATGGCGAGTAGGAGACATTTGCAATGTACAGAGAGGGAAGTCATACACATTCTAAACGAGACTATTTTGTACACTATACAACCAATATATCAGAATGATAAAAACATGACATCAATACTCGAAAACCTGATGTAACCCGCATGATTCAACAAGAAGTCCTTGCAGACGAAAGAAAAAGGAGCAACATTCGCTGTATCCCATTCCCTGTTTGTTTTCTGCTGCGAATCAATAAATGTATAGTACGTTTACCTGTCACCACCGGTATTGATAGTATAGGCGGAGCCACCACCATCAACAATGGCCCGGTCCGGGTGGAATAGGGTGTGTGGTGTAGGGTGTCCGGTTCGGTCTACCTGATACCAGGCGTTTCACTAGCATCTAGACCAGTGACAGACCACTAGGCTTGCCCCAACAGCAGTTTAGGGAAGTTGGGCTGGGACTGGTTTTTGAAACTTAAAGGGATTCTTTAGAAAGAGAAAGTTGTAAAAACGGTCTCCTGAAAAAGGCGAACTTCTCACAAGTTACTTCGAGCATCTAGACGAGTGATAGCCTCCTAGACTTGACCCAACAGCAGTTTTGGAAATTAGACGAGGACTAATTTCAAAATTAATCATAATAATAATGATCTGCTTTTATATAGCACTTAAAGGTAAAGACCAGTTATGGTCATGCCATTGCATTGTGAAAGAAACGTTGTGGAATCAATCATAAAAGGTTGATCATCTAGCATCTAGCATCTGCAAGGTTCTGGAATCATCAAAATGATAAGAAATTTGGCCCATTCTTCGTAAAGTTACAAGCATTATACACAGAAAGATGTATATGGGACTATCCTATATCTCTCACAGACCATGAGAGAAACAAATTTACCAAATATATGAATTAGTAGGCGGTTTCCCGGCAAATTTTGTTATCATTATGTATTAGTCAAAACATATTCTTTCACATGATTGGTAATGAGAGCTTCCATTTTATTTTTTGAAATTGGGGCGTTTCCAGTACTGGTCTTTACTTTTAATACAACGACAATGTCTCCAAGCGCTTTACAGATTTATTAATACCTAGTCATCGGATTCAGTACAGGGATTGTGAAGAAGAAGGAAGGAAGAAATAGCTGTAGCAGGCCTTAAATTTCAATATTTTTAGGGCAAGGCCACTTTTCTGTAGGGCACATTCCTATATTACAGCACAAATAGGAAGAATTGGAAAGGGCACAACAAATCTCCAAGGCCAATGAGAGGGGCATTGAGGCCAATCAAAGGGGCATCCACGGCCATGGCCTTGGATTAATTTAAGCCCTGCTGTAGGTCACTGCCCCCCCCCCCCCCCCCCCCCCCCCCCCCCCCCGTATGCACTGGATGAGAAATCAAAACTAAAATCTGCAGTTAACTGAAGCCTGAATGGATTTCACATTGCTCAAAATTGATCCCAGCATTTCAATGGTTTTCTTATACATGTATATCGAACAATTAATATTACGGTTCTTCTCTGGACATGAAGTAAGATAAATTTTAAGGACTCAAAATTTTGTTCAAGAAATATTTCAGGAAATCATATTGAATGATAATGATAGAATTCATAGAATGTATGAAGCAATTTATCTAGAATGCCATTCGGAGGCCCAAAAGGTATTAAGATAAAGTTAAGACCAAGAATTCAAATGCAATGTATCCGGGTGTCAAATATGTCTGAGGAACATTATTCTATGTTCTCCACTTGGATTTGAAACTTTCTAAAAGGCATTAGTTTTCTACTTCTCAACTAAAATGTTATCAAGGATGTGAGTCAAACAAACAAACAACTGGCAAGAAAGACTAGCTTTGGAGTTGATTCTTCCACCATCTGCGTATCACGTTGCTAGGTGATGAGTGATGCACCGTGGGATTCTGAGGTATAGCCACACTTTTTTCTTTTCCTTTTTCACTTTGCCAAACATCTCCTAGTATGATACAAGTTAAGTTTGTTCTTAAAAAAAAATCTTTTCTGCAGAGCACCTCTCAAGCATCTTTTTCCCATCTCTTTCTTGACTTTGTTTTCTTACATAATTTATCCTTCTATATAGTTCTTTTTCTCTTTTCCACTTTGATGTCTTGTTTTGCACTTTTTGTAATATGAAGTTCATTTTACTCAATTTTTCTCTTAGTTATTATTTTTCAAAATTTCATTTGAGAGTATCAAATTGTAAGGTTGAAATTGATTCTTGTCTACTTTTTTACTTGGAAATATGTTGTTAATGATAATTGTGTGATAAATAGCCACACTAATCCCTCTCTCCCTTTCTCTCTCTCTCTCTCTCTCTCTCTTTCTCTCGCTCTCTATTTCAGTCTCTCATTTGCCTTCTTTCCTCTTTCCTGTCTACAAAATCACATTTTCTGTTGGATGAACCTGTTTTCTTTGTCCATCTCTGTCTATATCCCTTTTCTTCTAGGCGGTAGACCTATCTGTCATTCTCCCAGAGTACCAGGTCTAGTCCTGAAAGCCCAGAGAACACTGCCTGATGATTGGTTAATCCTGACCTTTGACCCCGCTCAAATTGTGGCTAATCTCATGTTGCCCGGATTGAATTGCAAGTGAAAACTGTCATGGGTGCGCGAATCTCGTACAGTGACGAGTGATCCTTCAAAAGTGCATTAAAAGCCTTGAAGAGTTGGGTTTCTTCAATACAGACTCAAGTTCATGGAAGCATACACCAAACAACATTCAGAATCAATAGTGGGACATCAAAAAGCAGAAATCAGGGAATGGAAAGCCTGTCAGCAATCAGCATAAGTTTGGTTTCAACTTCAAAGAAGCATTTATAAATTTGATAAACTCTCTAGTCTATTGCTTTAGTCATTTATCACCCCAAAACAAAGAAAGGAACAAAAAAATAACGATTCCACTCATAATTGAACTAATCAATCAATCAATCAGTCACTCAATAAAATATCATGACAAAAATTATTAATCTATCATTATAAAAAGACCATGAAACAAACAAAGCAACAAACAAATAAATGAGAAACGAAAAAGAAACAATGATGCCAACAAAACTTGATCAACATCATATGCAAGCATTTGGCCGATATGCTATTGCAATAGTTAAAATGTACTGTGCCTACAGAAGAATTCATGTTTAATTAGTTTTTCACTAATGGATGGCTTCTGTCGATGTCCATTCTCTTGAATGACATGTTCATTACAAAAATGGCATCTAACAACATTCCCCCTTTTTGAGTAAGAAAATTGGGGAAAATCAGGGAAAATTGGGGAAAATCAGGGAAAATCAGGAAAATAGGGGTAAAATCAAGAAGGGTAAAATCGGGAAGGAAAAAAAAGATGAGAAAAAAAATCAGGGAAAAAATATTTTTTTTTTTTTTTTTAGGAAACTGATTTAAATTGCATAATTATCAGGCCTGCATTAAAGATCAGTACACATTTGTTAATCTCATATCAGAAATAGAAGTTTTACAATAGTTACATCAATGGTTTGAAACATACCTCAAATTCACTTGGATGGAAGACATGTTTCAAGATGATAACTTGCTCGTTTCTTTTCCTCTGTTGAAACTTCTTCTCAGGCCTCCAGTCGAGAAGTCTGCAACAATACAAGGACAAGTCCAAAATACAATTGGTCAGAAGGGCATTGTGATAATAATTGTTTGTCAATGTGGTTCACAAGACAGAAAGTTTTGAACTCATGAATAACCATTCTTCTGGTTCCAAACAGACAATATCATCCTTGACCACATTATTAGCAGCTACATGAAGCATACTGTTTATGAATTAGAAAGTGTACTTTTAAAAAACATGTACCCGAACAATATACATCTGGGCCTAGTTGTCGACTACATGTATATACAGTAGGCTATAGTAATTTATAGTTAGTTTACAACTACATGTAGGCAAAGTAAAATATTATGAATATGAGCCCTGGTATTTTTTTAATCAATTGATATATTCTAATGTTTTCTCTTATTTTTCTCGTGTCAAGATAGTCTAAAATATTCATAATATATGGGTAAGGTTCCAAACCAATGCAATCAATCAATCAATTTGTAATAAAGTCCAAGATGATTTGGGTGATTTTATATGAAATAAATTCAAACCAAACATAAAATCTTCTTGAAGTTTAGTAAAAACTTTTGGACAGCTTTGCCTTTAGAACAGAATAATCACTACCATTATCAGCATCATCATACATGTAATTGTTGTCTTTATAACAATTATTATAAAAACAAACCATCTAATTATCATCATCACAATCCTCATCATTAATGACATCAATAACATCTTCAAAATCTGTATCAACCATTCTAATCTTCACCCAACATTATTATACTTCAATGAGTATCCTCTCATCATCATAATAAGCAGTAAATTAGTAATAATTCTATTATGAACTCACACCTGCAGTATCTCCATCACAAATTTCTTTCCATTTTCCAACTATGATTACCAGTAATACTTTTTGGCCATTAGGCATACATTGTTAAAGTCCTCCTTATTCTACACGTGTCTTTGTAGACAGCAATGAACTAAAGAGGGAGCTATTCAATTTTGTCTTTCTGTCAGCTTGATCAGCAGCCAGAGAAAGTTGCTCAGAAAGCTGACAGTCTTTGTTATGATGCAGCATGAGAAACACATTTTAATAATATTTATATGCACTAAGTTTACTTATTTAATTAATATTTACATGCATTAAAGTTTTATACCTACACTGTATACATAAATAAATCACAAAACTCCTTATCATCGCTCTATAATAAAACATATAACTTCAGAAATTATATTGCCAAGTAAAGAATAATAAAAACAAATGAATGACTCACTTGTCTTGAACATTTCCTTTCTTTTTCTTGTTTGGTTTCTTTTTCTTCCTCATATCGGGTTTATAATCTCCCTTGAGGGTAAAGGTCGCGACCTCTACATGAATCTTATGACCTCTGATCTCAGACTCATCCAGCAGCTGTAAGGCAAGGTCAACTGACTCTCTCTGTAAACAAGAAAAGAAAAGAAGTTTGCAACAGGCTTTACTTAAATGTAGAATATCGGCAGCAAGAATTATACTTGATAATAACAAGGGAATAGTTTGAAGACTGTTGCAACAGTTCTTATTAATATTTCCATCTTTTGCTTCATGTATATGTATATGATTACATTGCTGTCGTAGGAGTTGGAGAAAATAAGGCAATGGCTGGATCCATGAACTTGGCCCTTCCAGAAATAAAACACCTCTTCAAATTTAATGCATTAAAAAATTAATGTCATTATTCAGTAAGGATGAATCAAAGATATGTAATGTACCAACACTGTGTACAAACTCCTTGGTAGCAATACTTGTAGAATTTGCTGTAAAACTGCCACCCCAACTCAATGCTACATCTTTGACAAAAATTGGGAAAAAAAACAATTTGATAATGGCCTGGGGAAATGCGCACGTCTTTGAGTGGTGTACATCCCATGTACTCTGTGCAATGTGCATGAGTGCGCGCTGCAGGAATCCCCAACACAAAGCAATAACATAACTATGCATACGCTTGTTCTTACAGCCAACCGCTAGCCACGTTCGCACAGCCATACTCGGAACTTTTAAAAAAAGACAGATTTTAACACAGAAAAACATAAAAACTTATCCCCCCCCCCCAGCAAAAAACATATTAAAACGTTAAAAACGTACTACTTGGAGCATCGATCACGACTACTCACCTTCAGATAGCAGCATCTGCCATCTCCTTTAGGTCTGCCCTCCTCGTCCATGTAGAGCTTGATCTTGGGTTTCTCCGTCTCCTCTTCCAGCATGATGATACCCCACTTGGCCATTACTTCCTGGAATTCCTCCAGGGTGATGTCGGTTGGAAGGCCACTCACGTAGACATTGGTGTTCTTGGTGGGATCGACCTCGAACCAGCCTGAGAGGAGGGGGTATAATCACAGAGATAATATTACAACTGTGACTTATTATTGGAGAACACACTTGGGGCATTAGTTAAAGCTCTGTTGCAGTAAGATGGCAGAACAGTATATTATCTTAGATATTGCAACTGTTTATAGACTTCACGGTGGATTAGCTTCTGACATTAATTTTAGCCCCTACATACATGTACTCCAGTATAAAAAAAAATACCTACATATATAGATTCTCTGGAGGTCTTTGTGAATTTGCTTCATAAATATGAGTTTTCCTTTAGAAAATTCTATTCATGTGTTTCCTTGATATTTACCAGAACATTTTCCTAGTGTTCCTTTGAACCTTCATGTTTTCCCTGCCTTAGTATTTCATATCATTTGAAGCAACCAGTTCTAAATGAATATTTTGATGTTCTGATAAACTTGTGTGTTTGTTTTAGCAACAAAATATGAAGCTAACTTTAAAAGTTATATAAATCAATCCCATATTGAAACATTCCAAAGTAGTTGTATTACAGGTATGACCACCAATCAAAGTTGATAGAGATTTATACACATATTTTCCATGAGATAACTTACATGTATCTTAAAGACTAAGTATCTATCATCTTGAAAAACTACAGGTTGTAGATACAAAATCTGAAAAATCACTTCAGGATAAAAATAGTCAAGGCTACATGACACAATTATTATATCAAAACAAATCCTGGTAACTTACTGTACTTTATAATACATGTAGGTGTTTGTTTTCAGTTCAGTCATGGTTATCTAAATCAAAATGGATACTCACTTTTCTGCTCTGCTTTCCTCTTCATCTGCATCTTCTGGTACCTGTAGAGCATCTGGGGTTGTTCATCTATCTTCACCTCCCCTCCTTTCTTGGCTTCATCCTGACCTCCTGGTGTGGTGTCTTTGTCCACTCCTGTAGATGTTCCTGGAGTTGCTGAGGAAGCTGATGCTGATGCTGATGTAGCTGCTGCTGCTGAAGGCTGTGGATCGGGCTGACTGTCTGCAGTGTTCTCATCGGTTGTGACACCATAGCTGGCTTGATAAGATGCAATGAAGTTCTCATCCACCTTTATAAAGGGTAATGAATTTGCATTAAAAAAACATGAAGGAAAATTCTTGTGACTGGATTCTTAGCTTTTTGGCAATCTGTGACACATCATTTGAGGTCCTCTCTCATTTGCTTTGTACAGACAGTTTGATTAATTGCCTTCTTTTTGGTTGTTGCCGATGAAGAAATAGGTTTGTTTCATGCAGAGGTTGTGTAAAACATGTGTACAAATGTACAATGATCATTTTTGGGGTGCATATATGATTAAATCTTTTGCTTTAGAGAATAGCAATTTCTTCTTCTACATGTACTTCAGTGTAGTCTGCTTCCTTCAACCTTGAAGATTCTTGCAGATCAGATTTAGTAGAGCTACAACAAAAAATGGGAGAGAACCTAGTAAGAGAAGTCACAGAGTTGCCAAACTGTATTTTATTGATTTCAACTTTTAAAAAGTCAGCAATAATGTACTTGCACACCGCCACCATGTTTGCTCCCTTCTGTCACACACATTGGCTTTCTCATTTACATCTACTCATTCGGGTTACTTTTATAACCGCCCGCTGGCAATGCTAAAAATGGATTACGCTTAAGAAAATAAGTAAATAACCCTAGTTAACCATCTACTTTTATGGTTTGTCCGTCTTCCCGAGGATTTATCACTCATAATGTGAAAATCTCTGTACAAAGTCAATGTAGAACAGTAGAAGTCTAAATTGCATCAAGAAAATCCAACGTGCCGATCAAAAATATGAAACGTCTACGAAAATGCGGACGATCCTTATTTTCTAGGACGTATGCGTCCGCGTTTACGAAGACGATCCTTATTCTCGGACCAGCGCCCCTAGGCCTACTGAATATATCAACTTTCTCTTTCTTACTTAATTTGTTGAGTTTAATAGACCTAAATCATGATTTTTATTTTTTAATCAGATTTTGCTCAAACTTTCGTTTTAATTTTTAGTTTAATTTTTCTACATAGATCTACCCTTAACCCAGGACAAGGCCCATCTAGTCTGGTAAAATAAATATCAGAAATTCAGAGTGGAGTTCCCCTTGGCTTTGGCCCAAACTTGGGTGTTTGCTCTTTTGCCAGTTTTGGAGTCTTTGGAGATGGAGAGCCTTTGCCCACTGCATGCACCGACTGTTGCCCGCGACCGCGACCCCGCTACGCGGTCGCGGTCTTTCATTGCAATTTGAACGTGTTAGCATACCTTTGGAAACCATGCCTTCTTTTCAGGGTCCCATTCATACATTGTGCCGTCATTAGGATCGGTGTAAATGTATCCATTGTCTCGTTTCCATTGCTCTTCCTGCTCTAACTTCAGCTGGTATTCAAAGTCCTCAGCCTCAGGATCCATTTTGCCTTTGAACCACTAAAATAAATTACCTCTCTGGAAACGATTTCGTGCTGAAGTACCCGTAGTCTGGCCTCAAACGTTTTAATTTAAGGACTGTACTCTGTGTTCTCAATTTGATGTTTTGTGTTGATAAAAAGTAGTTGAAAATGTGAATTGAGTAGAAATAAATTTTTATTTCATCTTTTTTTATCTTTAAATTGTTAAATTTTAATTGTTTTATCATGAAAAGATAATAATAATATCATCAAATATTTTGTTAATACATTATCTCCTCAAATTAGACTAATAAACTGAAATTAGCGACTATAAAGTTGTGGGGCCTGTTGTGATAAAATAACACGCATGTTTGCCCCCCCCCCCTAAAAGCCCCCCCCCCCCCAAAAAAAAAAAAAAAAATTAGCAGTGATGAAGTAAAAACGGTTTGTATTTTTTAACCAAAAATAAAACAACAAATAATAACACATGAATTGAATCACACTCAAAAAAATATTCCATTAAAGAAAAGGAGAGAAAATAGGAATTAAAGTTCCTAACCATTCCGCATGCCCCTATTTTTATCAATTGGAGGATTTTATAATATAACGATATGCACATATCGTCGAATTATTGTGAGAGCATGGGAAGCCGTGCGTATTTTTTTATTATAGGGGTGAGAAGACATGAGCCCTGAACACTGGCGTACTGATGGCGGGGGGGGGGGGGGCAGTTGCCCCTCAAAGTTGCCCCCTAAATTGAATTCAAACCTGGTTTATTTCTAATTTGCTACCAATGATTTTCAAAAATAAAAAGGAGGGGGGGGGGGAGTCGCCCTCATCGACGAAAAAGTGGGGGGCGGGCAAAGGCATTTCCGCCCCCCCCCCCAGAACAGGCACGTAGCTATGGGGGGGGGGGGGGCACGGAAGGTACGTGCCTCCCAAAAAATTCCAAGATCGGTTGAACTTTTTTAGACCCCTCCCCAGGACGTCGATCAATTACATGTATGTGCCCCCCTCCCCCCCCCCCCCCCCCAACATCAAACTCTGGCTACGGCCCTGCCCCAGAAAGAAAGAAATCAGCAGTAAAGGAGTAAAAATGGTTTGTATTTTTTAACAAAAGATAAAATAACAAATAATAACACATACAAATTTAATTACATTAAAAAAATATTCCATTTAAGAAAAGGAGAGTAAATAGGAATTAAATTTCCGAAACATTCCGCATGCCCCTATATTTATCAATGGAGGAATTTATTACAGCGATATGCACATATCGTGGAAATTGTGAGAGGATGGGAAAGCGTGTGTTTTTTTATCATGGGGGAAGAAGAAATGAGCCCCTGAACACTGGTGTACTGATGGCGTACTAAATTAAATTCAAATGTGGCTTATTTCTAATTCGCTACCAGTGATTTTCAAAAGTTGCTGAAATGACATGATTTTCCGGGATTTTTCTCAATTTTTTTTGTAACCCAAATTTACAGTTAGACAAAAAAAAAAAAAAGCTTATTTAGAAGCCTGCTTGTCAGGACATGCAGAATAACAGGGCTCGGGGGCTCAAGCCCCCTTCACTTTTTTGAAAAAGTATGTTAAAGAGAAAAAGAAAGAAAGATAGAATCAATACATGCCAGTGTAATAAATGAGGTATCAAAATAATGCTCATCCTACCGTAATAAATGCCTAAAACCCCTGAGCTTACGGGGGCTCCGCCCCTTGACCACACCAAGGACCCTAAGGCAGGGCTCTGGATGCGCCAACGGCGGACTGTACTATACTGGAAGAAGAAGAAGAAATACCTGAAACCCCTGTGCTTCTGGAGGCTCTGCCCCCTGGACCCAACCAAGGGCCCTTAGGTGGCCCCCTGGATCATGCTCATGTGATCATAATTAAATGCGTAAAACCCCTGAGCTCCATGGGGCTTAGCTTAGCCCCATGGACCCCACGCAAATTAGTTAATCTGCCATTGTCACAAAAAAGGATAACTCAATATGCTTATCTTAAAACCTGAGTCCTAATCCTATCATGATTGAACTTTATTTGCCTTAATTGGAGGATATCCCGCCTCATGACATTATTGAGCACTCATAAATATAGCCTCATTATTTCCCTTTTCTTCACCCTTTTCCCGATCTACATCCTTTTTAATTATGCTATACTTTATTTTGGAATGATATAATCATAACTTGGCAGAAAAACAGAAGAAAAAAACTGGACGTGCATATATATGCGCATGCGATGATAGTATTTTTAGGTATGAAATATCAAATAACATAAAATACCTCCTCCTGTCTTGAAGAATGGACGAGAAGCTAGAGATTAAATGAACTTTACACAGGGTCGATGGCGATCGATCATGTAAAACATATATTCCTATTTTAATGTATTTGCTGATCTGCCCGCGATCCGTGTAGAAAATAAAGCCGAACTACACATAATCTTTATCTTACAAACACCATACTGTGCAAGTCTGTATTTATGCTCGAAATGTTCACACAAATAAGAGGCTGGCCTGAATATTTATTAAAATGTTAATGATCATATATTTAATATGTTTACAAATAAAATTTAATTAAAATTTAAAATCGAAAACAAATAAATTAGGTTGTAAAATAGTTATTATAAATGTATTTAATATCGTTATATATTTTATACTCATATTAATTATTTTATCAGAATATCGTTAAGCGAACGAGACTTTGTAAATATATCCAGGGATACCGACGCCGAATCACGTCTTTAGATCTCTAATAAAATCATATTTCCCCTATATCCATGGAACTATAAATCGTAAAAATGTCTCAACGGGCTTTACCGGTTCTATTCATCAACCTTGGAGGTGAAATGTTGTATATTTTGGATCAGCGACTACGAGCTCAGAATATTCCCGCGGATAAAGCACGTAAAGGTAGGCAAGATCCCCGCCGCGCTGCGCTGCGCCATAGGCATAGCCACACACAGCGTTGGCCTTCTCACCTCGCGGGTCTGCACGGCACTATGCACTATGCGCCTGGGCCCTGGCCTGGCCTGGCCTGGGTCGTAATCAACATTTGCAAGATGACTGCAATGCAGCCGGCCTCCACTCAACATATGAGTGGGGTCTCATTAATATTATCAACGTTCTTATTTGATAGGTCTCATCATCATGATTATAATGTCAGGTTTCTATGATCAGGTCCAGACCAAGGCTGTTCCTTTTTTGGAAACTGGACCCACCCTTTATGTTTGTTTAACTTTGAAGTTTGAGCCTGGATCAGACTTTCCTGACTTAAAGGGAGTGTGTCATGACTAGACTATGTGTCTTCCCCATGGCCCTACCGGGGGCCAATCAGGTATCATACGACTACAGACGATGCGATTGCAGCATTCATGTGCGTGCAACATATATGCGAAACCAAACCGTGAGGAGAACATTGGTCTGTTTCGCGAACGCTAGCGCGCTGACCCAGTTAATCAAGTCCATTCGTTTACGTGCAGTTGTCCAAAAGATGACATCGATGGCGTTAACTAGTAATTGCCATGATGCACTCCCTTTAATTAATTAATATAGAAAGAAAAATATTCAATTTCTTGCTGTTTGTGTTGTTGTTTTTTTTTGTTACTTGTCAGACTTGTTTTGGATCTAGATCTAGATTAGATCTATGTTTAATAAAAGGCTAATTGAATAATTCATTTTAAACATGGATCAACGATTAGTAGACCTATATAGACTCTTAGTTTTGTATCTTACTTACTTACTTACTTACTTTAATACACGATGTTGTAGGTCTAAGCCTGTTCATCGATCCAGGATTCTTCCGTGATTAGAGTTTCTATCAGAGTTTCTATCAGTTGCAATCGTAAATTATTTGATTTTACTTTTTGTTTTCTTTCTTTATTTTGTAGACAGTTGAAGTTGATACATCAATGGATTGTACCTAGGCTTTATAGTCATTCTATAATTCATCACCCTTTAATTCGTAATGATTAATCTTCCCTGTCTTATCTTCCACTACCTTAATAATTTTTATGCTATTCTTTATTTTTATCTTTCTAATATTTTTTCTACTTTTCTATTTTGTTATTCTTTGTTTTTCTTCTCTTCTTTTACATTAACTTTTCTTTATAAATATGTATCATTCTGTAGTATAATCTACTATTCAATTTGTGTGTATGTTATTCTTTGTTTTTATCCATGAATCATTTTCTTTTTTTTTTTTACTCTTCCTTGGCTTTATTGTTTTTTTGTTCATCTTTTCTTTTATCTTTCCCCTCTAAATTATCTTTCCCCCTTTCATCTTCTTTTCTTTTCATTATGTTATTCTTTATGTTATCTTTAGATATCATTCTATCGTTTTCTACCGTATTTCTATTTCTCCTTGCAGTGTATGTCAGTTGATCGAAATTGAACCAAAAAAAAAAGAAAGTTGTGAATTTTGAAAAGTTGTTATCACTATGTCAATATACAGCATGTGCATTTTATATACTACATGTAGGCTGAATAGGGGTTTACTGCATGACATAGTGCTCAAAAACTTTAATACTCTAAACTTTCTTTCCCTATACATATACTGATCTTTGTTTTTTCTCCTTTCATCTTCTCTTCTTTTCATTATGGTCTTTTTTATGTTATCTTTAGATATCATTCTATCATTTTCTATTTCTATTTCTCCTTACAGTGTATGTCAGTTGATTGAAATTGAAAAAAAGAAGAAGAAAGTTGTGAATTTTGAAAAGTTGTTATCACTATGTCACATAGGACCCCGTTGGAAATAAGCCTTTTCCGGCTTTCATGGGTTATCCTGTCAATGTATCTTCTCGTTTCATTTTGCTTCATGTATGCATTCATTGTACTATACTTGACGAATAAAATCAATCAATCAATCAATCTACATTTGTACATGTGTACACAGCATACACTTCAAGTAGGTGTTTACTGTGACATAGTGCTGGAAAACTTCCCCAATTCTTTCAACACAAAGGAGGACTAGAATGTCATTTTTGTCAAAATATGGGACTTATATTTATTATAATATTATGCTATCCATAATACATTTTGAACAGTGCCCCAAGGCCAAGGAAGAAAGCACTTAGGATAAAATCACAATAAATTATATTTTTAACACAACAAACGGTAGAGTTGTCTATGACTTTATCACAATCCATTGACCAAATTGCCACTCTAAGATTTGCAAAGATTTACATGTAGTAATCTCATATTTCAAATATTCATAACTCCTTATTATTGGACCAATTTTGTTTCTCTTGTTTTTCTACTTTCATACAATTGGACTCCTTCCAAAGTTGGATTGCCCTTGTAAGATTTAGATGTACATGTACATGTATTGGTAATGTGGTATTAGGATTAGGATGTGAATCAATAGACACCATGTACATAACAGCTTGCCAATCTAAGATCATGGAACCAATAGCTCACATGTACAGCAGTACATGTAGTTGCCATGGTTTCTGGAGGGAAACATGCATAAATTATGAACCCTACCTCAAATGGTCCATGCATAAATTATACACACTAGTTAAAGTGTATTAAATGAACTATGCCCCATTTGCAGGCCCCAAAAATGAAAAGATTAAATTCTAACGGCATTTGACAGATAATGCTAATTGAGAACTTCCCTTAAGAAAGATATTAGGACACTGCTAACGTTTAAAATACATGTATATGACATCAAAAGGGACATGCCGTGTGAGTAAAAAAAAAATTTACTCCTAGAAAATTGCTAATTATTTTAAGAATCATCTATGAACAGTAAATTATTTTACATCTTATGAAAGAGTGTTTTATCCCAAATCGATTTTTGCACTCTCGCAAACAATGCCTCCTGTTCATCCAAGCATGAACACATACATGTACAGTACATGTACCACACAAAAATGATACTGAACGATTTGGGATAAAACACTCTTTCATAGGATGTATAATAATTTACTGTTCATACATGTAGATGACTTTTAAAATAATTAGCAATTTTCTAGGTGTGAACTTTTTTGGACTCACACTGTAGTATCTTTAAGAAAGTAAAAGTTTGATGTTTTTATTTCTTTAGTGATGCATGACATTGTGAAGACAATGTTCAACCAACGCTTTGTGGGGGAGCTCTTCAAACCTCAGGATATCTACTCTAAGAAAGCGATGAGGACTGTGTTTGATCGTCTGGCCCATGCCTCCATCATGAGACTAAACACCGCTAGTATGGACAAGGTAGGATAAATATTTTTTAACTCAATTTTGAATGTACTTTGTAATTAAACATGTACATTGCATGTACACGTTTTGAAAGCATTTAAGCATTACCGGTATTTATGATATATACATGTAAGCCTTAAAAATCACTGTAAACCACATTTTATATACAATTTTTGTTTCTAGTTGTATGACCTGATGACCATGGCTGTCAAGTACCAGATCTCACTTTGTCTGAGACCTAAGGATATCCTACTTGTCACTCTCAACCACATGGACGCTATCCGTAGCTTCGTCTGTGATAATCCTACCCTCAAGGCTGGCGTAGAGGGCGTTTGTCGTCTGCTCTTGAAGGTATGTGGTGTCCCGCAAGGATCCCTCTTTTGACCGCTCTTGTTTCTACTTTACGTTAATGATGGTGCCACATTTCTGTTATAGACATTCAAATTGCATTCTCCTTCTAATTTGACTAATAAGATTACGCATATTATTTTGGATTCATAATCATTCAAAATATACAGGCCATGCATACAAGATTGTGTCAATTCAAGCAGATGCGTAATCTTATTAGTTAAAATAGAAGGAGAATGCAATTTGAATGTCTAACAGAAATGTGGCACCATTATATTATTGCTACATGTATAAATCATCATGATTATTGCCATTGTCATCATCTTCATTAAACATTCATCATCATCATCGCCACCACCACCATCATCATCATCTTCATCTTTGTCTTCATTCATCATCATCATCGTTATCAATCATTATTATCATTATCATTATCATTATTATTATCATTATCAACATCTTCATTTTCATCATCATCATCATCATCATCATCATCATCATCATCATCATCATCATCATCATCAACTACTTGTTCAAAGATTCTTGAGTCATAGCTTAATTGGGGACATTTTTGAAAACAACATTTCTAATGTGTTATTATTAATCACTCCTTAATTACAAATGAAACAGTTTTATTATGGCAGTTGAATGAGTTGATCAAAAGTTTAGTCAATGTAACATCTTTCTTTCTTTATTACAGATGTTTAATCCATTTTTAGCTTGGTTTGTAATTAGTGTAATGCTTACTTGTAGAGTCCCTGGAATAAGATACAAAATGCCTTATTAACTCTAAATTATGATTTTTATCAAGATTTGATGAAGATAACAGACAAGTGCCTTAATTGTTTGGCACTCAAATCATTTCTAAAGACTTTAATCATTCTACAATGTACATGTAGATATGTTGCTGATAATATTAAGGATTTTACGTGTACCAGTATGTTTGATAGTCTATCAAATTGTATCAAATTGTTTTATCTGTTAAAATATAATTGTGAATTTTGTTTTTCTTCCTGTCTTTGACTTCATCAGACGTTTACTTTTGTAACATTGGGAGAGTTCCAGCTAATACGACAGACGCTTCTAGGCTTCTTTCAAGACATGCATATTAGGGTAAGCTGAACATTAAAGCTGTTACATTATGTTCCACTAAACAGTACATACATTTACATTTTAATGTTCAGGTAACTCATATCAGTTTTTATTTATAAAGGTAACATTTTTCTGGTTTTAATCAGATTATTTGTTGGTCAACTGTAGTGCGGTAATTTAGAAAATTATATGAATTACTTGTTTTCCATGTATAGAATAGAATAGTAATGGTTTATTAAAAGATCATGCAGCCAATGTCTGAATTGCGATTCATTTCACGAAGATACAATACAATTGCAATTCAAATTCAAATAACACAAAATATGACATAAGTCAAAAACCAAACATACATGTATAGACATTTCATACAAATTCATTGATCAAATTCAAATTTTTGTTTAAAAAAAAAAAAAGAGAAAGGGAGAGGTGTAGGAGAGGGAGAGTTGGAGTGATGAGAAAGAGAGAGAGAGAGAGAGAGAGAGAAGGAGAGAGAGAGAGAGAGAGAGAGACAGACAGAGAGACATACAAAGGGGGTCCTTATCAATACAGATGAGGGGAGATGGTAAGAAACATTCAGAAATGCAGAAAATCGAGATAAAAAACTATCAAAAGTCATTCACATAGTACAATCATGAACTGTGAAATTCTATTTAAAAAAAAGCAATTTATACTACATGTACTGTAGTATATGATCACTTTGTTTTCATACAATTGCCTTACATGCATAGTACATAATAATTGATGTCAATGTGTATTTGGTATACATTTTGGAAGAAATATAAAGAATTTGAACATTTAACAATGTTCTGTTTGGTATTTAAAGTTACATTTTGTTGTTGGTGAACATTGTTTTTTCTTGAGATTTGATTTTGATTGAAAAATATAATGCATAGTAAAATGTGTTTCATTCCATGATTGGAAATGTCAATTGCTTTTCAAAGAGTGCTGTCATTTGTGATCAGACCTAAAATTGTTCATTTAGTTCAATGGATAGTTCTGGCTGTATACTGTATGTACACTATATGTACAGTACATGTTTTAATATCCACAAAAGCTCATATTGCATCTGTGCTCTGTTTCAGATGCTAAAAATCGTAAAAGTCATTAAATTTTCATAAATAGTAAAAATACAAAAGGGCAAATCCATCTATGCCTGAATTCAGGTTTTTTTCAGGAGGTGAAATTCATTACAGTAATTATTTCAGTTACACTATGGGTCTGGAAACCTGCAAAAACATACTACATATACAACAAAATGAATTGTTTTTCCTTCACTGCACACCATATCGATTTTGTAGGTTGTTGCCATGGTAACAAAAAGCTATTTAAGTACCCAGGCAGATGAGATGAGCCTGTTTTTTGTAGAGCCTCGGATGATGAATGGATGGTCTTGACATTTCTCTAATTAATAAATGCTCAGGGTTGAAGTCTGAATAGTCCTGAGTGGATTGTAATGCATCAATGATTACGGTAGAAATATTAATTATGGGTGTCCATGTATCGCTGGAATACATGTCATGATCACTTTGATAAATGTATTTCATTGTGCTGAGTGCTGACTGCTGTTGTTAAAATGCTCTTCAGTAATTTATGATCACATCAATTTCACATCTAATATTTTTGATTATTTGATATTGTATGTACAATGTACATGCACATGAAGTTGTCTCTTTAATAATGATTTTACAACATTGTATGATGTGGAGCATGAAAATAGTACTAGAAAATAAACATACTGTAGAGAGAGAAAAAAAGGATACCGGTAAGTAGAAATTTCTAGAAAATAATGTTTAGAGGAGTGAAAAATATAGAGAATGGTATAGAATTAAGAAGAAAATACATGTGAATCAATATAAATAAAGTATAAAAAGATTCAGTAAAACTGAAACATTAGTGAAGCTTACCGTCAACAAAATTGAATTGCTGGTGGAAATTTAAATGAACATGTAGCTCTGGGGATAATGTTTTCATCTTTTTCTTAAAGATTTGTTAAGCGAACATCAACACCATTGTCTGTTAATTGTAGGCAGCTGTCTAATACAGTTACATGTAATTACTCTACCGCTCATGTATTCATCCATAGGCCTCCAGTGGCTATTCAGAGTGTTAATCATAATTAACTTCTAGGGTAAACAATCATGAATGAATTGGTAGACATCAGCTAATGAAAGGTCGATGCTAATTAAGGGTCAATTTGAGGTTTAATTGTATCAAGGAGTCTCCATTCTTCGCCAATGGTTGTGGATGGGTAGATTTGTGTGTACCGCTAGAGGAGACCTTGCTGTATTGGCAATGCACACAAGTGTCCTTGTTGATATTGGTACATTAAATTAGTTCAACTCTGAGCTGTGGATGGGATATGTACTGTACATGTAGCTTTATCTACAACTGTACAGTACATGTAGGCAGGCTCGGATCCAGGATTTCTTAGGGGTGGGGGCCCAAATTTGAAATCAACTTGAAATTTAGTATGCTGAAATATGAAAATCATGCTGGCCAATATTTTGCTCAGTGGGAGGGGGGGGGGGGGGGGGGTAGTGAGGCACTAATTATTATTATTATTTGTTTTGCTCCCAAAAATTTGAAAATCGTGCCGGCTGAAAATTCGCTCGGGGGGGTGGGGGGTGATATGGTGTACAGTTATGTGCAAGTGAGTTTATTATACACCTGTACCTGCACACTCTGTACATGTAGTGTATAATTAATGAATACCCTGAATACTATCAGCAAGGTGTGCTCTTTCAATTATAATGCAGCATGGATCAATTTTTCATGACGATACTTTGACATTTTGGCAAATATGCAGTATCATGCATCATTCAACATGTATACAGTAAATCACGCACATACATGTGTACATGTACCGGTACACTGTACTGTACTAGTTATGTGTAGAGCATCGATGTATAATGTATACATGTGTTATATTTTAAAGCTTTCTTAGAAGATTAAACTTTTTTTTTTTTCTTCTTCAGATGTCAATATTTTTGAAAGAAAAAGAGCAGAGTCCTAATGGCTTAATCACACACATAATAATTATGTGCGGAACATCCATGAACAATGTGTTATATTATGAAGCTGGCTTACAAGATCAAACTATAATTATTTCTTTTCTTTTTTAGGTGTCAATATTCTTGAAAGAGAAAGTGCAGAGTTCGAATGGCAGGTTTGTTCATTCTCTGGGCGGCACTGTCCCCTATGGCACCGAGATTCCAGGAACCATCAGGTTTGTATGAATCTTTAAACAATCGAGAGCACTATTTGATAAGACTTGTTTTAAATCAATAACAAGGTACAACTGAAATTGTGGCATTTGATTGGGTGAAAACAAATTTGTCGTAGAAATTTAGCATTTGTTATGATAACAAGTTTTATATAAAACAGGACCTAGATTGTTGAATTCTCAGATCTTTCTAAATAAGGGTTGTTCATGTACATGTATATGCCTCTGTATTAAACCTACCTTAATTAACGTTGTATAAAACCGCCCTCGTGTATTAACCGCACCCCTCTTTTTCGCCCTTAAAAAAAAAAAAAAAAAAAATTTGCCAAGATTTTTTTCTTTTGTGTAAGATCATTAGTGTAAATTAAAAAACAGTAGAGGACCTAGGATTGAACCTTGTGGTACACCATGTAATAGAAGAAAAATTGGAGGAATTATTATTACAAACTACATATTGAGATCTATCAGAAAGATTACTTTCAAACCAAGATGACAGACAAATTTGAGTTTTGTTCTAGTTTCCGAGTGGTGAGTCAACACACCGATTACCGAGCTGGGAGACATTGCCAGGCATAGCGCCAGGTGGAGGGGCATAAATCGAAACTTTAAAAAAAAAAAATGGTGTACCGTGTATAAGCCGCACCCCCGACTTTGAATTTTTTTTGGTGGCAAAAAGGTGCGGTTAATACACAGTTAATTACGGTAAGCAATTTTAAGTGTATCGCATTTCACAGTTTTTGTATCTCAAACACACAGATTAGTGATTAGAAGTGACATTTGATTTGATTGAATTGATAATAATCTTCAAAGTTTGCATATTATATTCTCACATACATTTCGATCCAATTAATGTCCAGGATAATGTATAAAGTGCCTAGATTAGTTCAAAAGTAGTGCTTTATCAGATTCTAAACAGTGTTAAATATTATTACATGTATTATGCATTGATTGCTATAAATACTACCAAAAAAATAAGATATATGGAACCACTTGAACTCACTCAATGTCATGGAATGACATTATTTCCTTGTATTAAATTAACGTCATTTTATGACAAACTCATGACACTTTTCCAATCTACATTACTGATGATACTAATATCAAATATTTACTAGCGCTAAAAACAAAAAGTACCATAGCACTTACAAAATACAAATATATGAAAAGAGGACAAAAAATGTACAGTCTCACAGGAAGTAGATCACATAGATGACTGGGGGAAAAGGCAAGTTTTCAGTGGGGGATCTTTTGAAGGTGGCCATTAAGACAGGTAATATTTCCCTTAATATAGAAAGAGGGATTTTTGGTAAATTTGCTTGGAAATGTTCACTTTCTTGTCTCCTTTGATAGATATTTCAACCGTGATGGGAAGCAGGTCGAGACGGAAGAGTTTTCATTCCAAGGAAGGTACGTTGCGTCCTTCAAGGAGGGGTCATTTGAGATGGAAGGTGACCGGGTCATCAAGCTAGGTAGGAACATGTACTGCTCGGCCAAGACGGGAGAGGCAACGGTCATGGGCGACTCAAGCAGCAGGAACAAATCAAAAGCATCCGCAGAACATGTGAGTATATGGTGCTCTCAGGCTTTTCAAGCGGGAGACTTGATAGAAAATAATTAAGGCGCCTTGGATCAATTCGAGTGGCAGTAATCACGCGGCTTTATGCAACGCGGCCTAGTTTGCGTGAAAGCCACAATCGTCCGAACCCCTCTATTCAAAAAGCGCATGCGAAAATCCCTCATAAAGAAGCATACGGTCCAACGATTCCACAACGGAGCGTGACCTACTCATAATGCTTTCAAGCGATACCAGTTGACCGCCCTCTATATGCCAATATGTAACTCTCAAACTATGCAGGGGCCGCGGAAGCGGGTGGCTGGGGCTTTTTTTTTTAGTAGACACGTTTCATAAAAGCTCTGAAAAAGGGGTTTATAGATTGTTCGCATGCTCAGACCTCCCCCCCCCCCCCTCCCCTACTCTAAAAAACGCTCCGCGTCCCCTGCTATTTTTTTTTTGGGGGGGGAGGGTTGGAGACAAAATAGCATAATACAGTACAGACTATACGATGGACCCAACTTTCTCTCTCTCTCTCTCTCTCTCTCTCTCTCTATATATATATATTTGTTTATCTGTCTGTCTTTCTCTCTCTTTCGCTCTTTAAAAAGATGATATAGGGAACACAAAATAGTTTGTAAGTATTACTTGGAGAGCATAATAATTAGTTGTTTTTTTTTTTACAAATGTAAAAAGCGTTTTGAGCATGTTTATGTAAAGATGCTTTATGAATATATTGCCAAGTTTTGACAATTATAGTTTTTAATGTATTGACAAAGTAAAAAATATAAAAATATTACGAATCGAATGACAGGTGTTAATTTGAATGATAAAAATTACGCTTCGACAAGTGAATATTAATTTGAATGCTAGTTGAGCAGTTTTTAAATTGAATGACAGATCTATAAAACCCTTCGACCAAAATCCTAAATTAAATACAAAAACTGGAAAATTGAATGATAATTGGCATAGCAAAGCCGATCTGCGCTAACTTAAATGCAAAGTAAATGAATTTGAATGACAAACGCGCGAATTTGGCCGGGAAATCCTATATATAAGCTTTTCAATAATAGGCCCGTTACCATGAATAGGCGTCAATGACCATATAAGGCCAAGGCTGTACCCGCGCTTGCCGTGTACAAAGGTTTTAAATGAGATCACAATTCGACGTACTCCTAAATAAAAATAAAAATCTCTGTTGCATCAAAATAAAATTATACGTTCATTGTATGTTATTGACAGAAGTTATATACATCGGACATTATACTTTAGCACAAAAGGGTTATCTATAGAAGAAGGTGGACAACATTATAAGAGAAAGAATAACGATTTCTCTTTTATTTATACAAAAAATTAACAGCATAAATACCCCTACAAAAACAGAAGAAATCTTGAAGAGAGAGAGAGACAAGAAAAATATGAAAAGGACCCAACAAATAAAAATAAATAAATAATAGGATTCTAGAGCGGAAGATGATAGGGAAAACGTAATAGTTTGGTAGTATTGGCAAATTTTGACAATAATAGTGTGTATTACACACTATTATTGACAAATTATATACAAACAAAAACGACACAAAATATTAGAAAGCATTTTAGACCTACCGGTATATAGAATGATTATACGTAAAGAGTTATGTCTGAGGCCTATCTACATCTATGTTACGTAAGAGGAACAATGAACGTGGCCAAAGGTAGAGTTCGTTGTCATGGTTATAAACTCGAACAATAGAAGGGCGGATTATGAGGTAGGTGCTTGCATGACCTTCTGCTCGTAACCGACAAGTCACCGCATTAAAATTAAATTGCAAATAGTGTTCAACAACACGATGGTGGATCAAACTTTCTAATATTCGAAGATATATGACCTTCAGACCATATTGTTTCATTATTTTTTATTCAATCAATCAACGTCAAAGAATGGATTTATCATCGCTCTTCAATTTATTATTTCACCTTTGTATGTACTTTCATTCTTATGCATCACGAAAGAACACTAAATTGGATTCTTCAATGTTTGTTTTGATTAATTTCCTCCCCTTTCCTTCTCCCTACTTGACACGGATACAATTTTCAATTTTTCTTAATCAAGGCAAAATATTATTTTCATATTTTCTTTATGCAAGACAGGGAGAGAGAGAGAGAGAGAGAATATGTTGAGTGAGAATTATCGAGTACAACCATGAATTGCAGCCTTTTCAATATTATTCAATTCGCTGAAAATATTCAGAATATGAATATGATAAATCCACATAATACACCAACGCTGTTCAATGCATCCAACGCTCCAACCATAGCCCATATGCCAATGCACCATATTTATCAAATATGAAAAGATTTTTAAATGAAATGTGAAGAAAAATCAAATTGTACAATGCACTTACAGGCATCAGTTGAAATCATGAATTCTCTGTGACTGGCTTAGCACTAGTTTCTGAGGGACCAGTCACTGAAGAGGAGATAGAGGCAAGGAAAATTAAGGAAGAAGTAAAGAAAAGAAGGGGGATATCGGTTACAATTTTCCCACCAACAAGAGCTAAAAGGGACCAAATAAAGAGGTAGAAGAAAAAAAGGGTGAAAAGAATTTCGATGCGGTGTTCGAGTAGAATTCTGTGAGATGATGATATACTTTCTGACTCGTAGCTTGAAGTGTCTATATCCAGATATCTGTTGATAGTATTATAAAATATATAAGCCTGAAATGACCTTCTGCTCGTAACCGACAAGTCACCGCATTAAAATTAAATTGCAAATAGTGTTCAACAACATGATAGTGGATGAAACTTTCTAATATTCGAAGATATATGACCTTCAGACCATATTGTTTCATTATTTTTTATTCAATCAATCAACGTCAAAGAATTGATTTATCATCGCTCTTCAATTTATTATTTCACCTTTGTATATGTACTTTCATTCTTATGCATCACGAAAGAACACTGAATTGGATTCTTCAATGTTTGTTTTGATTAATTTCCTCCCCTTTCCTTCTCCCTATTTAACACTGATACAATTTTCAATTTTTCTTAATCAAGGCAAAATATTATTTTCATATTTTCTTTATGCAAGACAGGGAGAGAGAGAGAGAGAGAGAGAGAGAGAGAGAGAGAGAATATGTTAAGTGAGAATTATCGAGTACAACCATGAATTGCATCCTTTTCAATATTATTCAATTCGCTGAAAATATTCAGAATATGAATATGATAAATCCACATAATACACCAACGCTGTTCAACGCATCCGACGCTCCAACCCTAGCCCATATGCCAATGCACCATATTTATCAAATATGAAAAAAAAAATTAAATGAAATGTGAAGAAAAATCAAATGTACAATGCACTAACAGGCATCAGTTGAAATCATGAATTCTCTGTGACTGGCTTAGCACTAGTTTCTGAGGGACCAGTCACTGAAGAGGAGATAGAGGGAAGGAAAATTAAAGAAGAAGTAAAGAAAAGAAGGGGGATATCAGTTGCAATTTTCCCGCCAACAAGAGCTAAAAGGGACCAAAAAAAGGGTGAAAAGAATTTCGATGCGGTGTTCAAGTAGAATTCTGTGAGATGATGACATACTTTCTGACTCGTAGCTTGAAGTGTCTATATCCAGATATCTTTTGATAGTATTATAGAAAATAGAAGCCTGAAATGACCTTCTGCTCGTAACCGACAAGACACCGCATTAAAATTAAATTTCAAATGGTGTTCAACAACATGATGGTGGATGAAACTTTCTAATATTCGAAGATATATGACCTTCAGACCATATTGTTTCATTATTTTTTATTCAATCAATCAAAGTCATAGAATTGATTTATCATCGCTCTTCAATTTATTATTTCACCTTTGTATATGTACTTTCATTCTTATGCATCACGAAAGAACACTGAATTGGATTCTTCAATGTTTGTTTTGATTAATTTCCTCCCCTTTCCTTCTCCCTATTTAACACTGATACAATTTTCAATTTTTCTTAATCAAGGCAAAACGTTATTTTCATATTTTCTTTATGCAAGACAGGGAGAGAGAGAGAGAGAGAGAGAGAGAGAGAGAGATAATATGTTAAGTGAGAATTATCGAGTACAACCATGAATTGCATCCTTTTCAATATTATTCAATTCGCTGAAAATATTCAGAATATGAATATGATAAATCCACATAATACACCAACGCTGTTCAACGCATCCAACGCTCCAACCGTAGCCCATATGCCAATGCACCATATTGATCAAATATGAAAAGATTTTTAAATGAAATGTGAAGAAAAATCAAATGTACAATGCACTAACAGGCATCAGTTGAAATCATGAATTCTCTGTGACTGGCTTAGCACTAGTTTCTGAGGGACCAGTCACTGAAGAGGAGATAGAGGGAAGGAAAATTAAGGAAGAAGTAAAGAAAAGAAGGGGGATATCAGTTGCAATTTTCCTGTCAACAAGAGCTAAAAGGGACCGAAAAAAGAGGAAGAAGAAAAAAAGGGTGAAAAGAATTTCGATGCGGTGTTCGAGTAGAATTCTGTGAGATGATGATATACTTTCTCGTAGCTTGAAGTGTCTCTATCCAGATATCTGTTGATAGTATTATAGAATATAGAAGCCTGAAATGACCTTCTGCTCGTAACCGACAAGTCACCGCATTAAAATTAAATTGCAAATAGTGTTCAACAGCATGATGGTGGATGAAACTTTCTAATATTCGAAGATATATGACCTTCAGACCATAATTGTTTCATTAATTTTTATTCAATCAAACAACGTCAAAGAATTGATTCATCATCGCTCTTCAAGTTATTATTTCACCTTTGTATGTACTTTCATTCTTATGCATCACGAAAGAACACTAAATTGGATTCTTCAATGTTTGTTTTGATAAATTTCCTCCCCTTTCCTTCTCCCTGTTTAATACTGATACAATTTTCAATTTTTCTTAATCAAGGCAAAATATTATTTTCATATTTTTGTCTTCTTTCTCTACTGATTTAATGAAACTTCAAAGCTTCTGTGCTTTGCGCGGACGGGAGGGGGGGGGGGTAAAATGAATTCAGAGGAGGATTGTTTTTCGAGAACGGTACAACGAAACGTCCCTGCAACATCTTTGCTGATCTTCTTCTCAATATTTATTTATTGGTCGAGTTACATTATTTGTTGTTCTTTTAGAACAACCATATTTCAGAGAATTCTTTTCACAACAAAAAACTTCTTCATGTTTCAGTCCTTGCGCTATCGTCTCCAGCTCCAGCAGATATTGGGCGTCGGCGTGCACATCGGTACTACCGGCGCAGTATAGCCACTGCTGACGGCCGCATTAGCTGTCGTTGTTGTTTGTATCGGTAATACATAGAGATGGGAGAGAAAGCGCCATCTAAGTTCCATTTCATTGGTTTAAGGTTTGAAAATTGAAACTCATTTTGTGTTAAAGTTATATAAGAAAAGATAATCTTTATTTTATAATTCCACGGGGGCGACTTTTAATTTTGCAATCGTCCCCGTGGGCAACCTGACGGGGGCAATTATGGAGCTCACGGGGGCGAATTGCCCATCGCCCCGTGTATTTTGGGCGCTGATAATGAGTAATATGAAAGTACAACAAACAGGAGCAATTGATAATGTTAGTTTATATTTTGCACGATTGGAGAAATAAAGTATCTTGAATCGTAATCTTGAATCTTGTGCAAGAGTATTGATTTATCTTAATAAGATTTCGTTTGTGATGTGAGCAAAATTAACGCAAATTTCTAAACGAATGTCAATCAATGATTTGTTACCTTCCTTCCATTACCCCCACCTAACAAAAAAAACAAAAAAAAACGAATACACATTAGTATACTTGGGGGAGGGAGGAAGAAAAAATAATGAGTGCAGTTTTCACATTTTAATGAGATTTATTGAATGGAAGAGTAAAATCAACCCAAAATTCTAAACGATTATAAACGAATTTTTATAATTCATTGCTTTCCTTTCATTATTCATCACCCTCCCCATCTAAATAATGATAATAATAATATGATGATGATTATTATAATGATAATAATAAGCCGGAGAAACACTAGCGTACGGGGGGGGGGGAGAGGGGCACGGGGCAGAATGCGGATAAGGAGCCAGACTGCACCCATAATGGGTGGCCAGTGAAGAAACAAAAGAGAGGGAAAAGAGAGAGAGAAAGAGAAGAGAGGGAGGAAAAGAGATGAACAGGAGCAAGAGGAAATATATTCTTTGGAGAGGGCTTTATACCAAGTTCAAAGAAAAAAAAATATTTAAAACCTTTCGTAAAATGTGTTTTGCCTCTATGAGTTAAATGACAATGAAATAGCATAGTCTCCAAACAGGAATTCATGAATCAACACATTGGCTTTATGGCCAGCACGCAATTGTTTATACCGGCGAGAGAGAAAAAAAACACTAGTCTTTATTTCCATGAATTGCTGGAGAATTAAATTTGAATGGGGCTCCCGTAACCCGTGTGTCTAGATTGACACCTCCAAGTTACCTCCCCGAAAAAAATCTACTTTTTAAATATTCATTCGGTTATATATACACAGATAAAACGTTGTTTAAAATGCTAACAGTTCATTACAATACAACAGCTTGTTGATTTTTTTAAACAGGTCTTATTATTTGTAAACAACCCTTTTAAACGGTGTTTTGATTGTGCATAATGATCCATTCCAAACATACAGAGTACAGTGCTAATTAGACACAAACTCAAGCTAAGATAAAATAACTTAGTTTAGCCGCAGAGGGAGCTAAACAAGTATGACGAATCTTTCAATGGGTTGAAAATTAATCGTGGTTTTTCTGGCTTGAAAAAGACGTCACGGTCTTCGGACACACACAATGCGGCTTTTCGTGGGCAAATCGCGCATCCGGGTTAACTCAATACAGTTTTCATGCATGCGCTCTCAGGTTAAAAGGCTGCAGCTTCTCGCACATGAGAATTAATCCAAGGCGCCTAAGGCAATCAGTTGAATGTCTTTTTGTTTTGTTTTATTCCCTTCTGGTTGTATTTTTGTTTAAAATGTACTGCTCTTGTCTTTTCGTGTCCATGAAGCATAAGGTCAAAGATCAAAGATAAGTATGCGACATCCAGATACACTGTAGTGATGAATGAATGAAGAATGATTTTTACTACCGGTATACCACAATTTGATCACAATACAGAGCCAATTGTAGAATTTTTATACGATTCAATAGTAATGGGAATCACAATCAGGTAGCAATTAGATCTGAACCAGTTTGAACTCGTAACTCATGTTACAGATGTTTTTATTTGTGCACTCTGCTTTTAAAGTACTTCTGGTTGTTCTTTCTCAGAATTCCCATGTCCAAGATATAACTGTAAGGATCATCTTTTGCCCCCAAAATGTGTCTTAAAAACACAAAATCTAGTTCTTCATCAAGCTGGAGAAATGCATTAACATGCATGTATTTCTTGTTTAATCTCCAGGCATCAGCTAATCCTAATCCCATGGTGAAAGCAGAGCTTAATCTCCTAGCTCATCTGATGGGTGCAGTAGAGAAGAAATCATCAGGCGGTCCTGGCAAAGAAAATGATTTCAGGATCAGCATGTTCAATACGGATGAAGAGGAAGAGTGAGTCGGTTTCTTTTCAAAGTCAATAAGCATTTTCATGGAACAGAAATGGATGGATAGTACATGAATCTGTGTTAAAACCCTTGAATAATAAAAGATCAGTATGTTCGATATTCAGCATTGATGGCAAGGGAGAGTACAAGTCTGTACCACTTTACCAATCTACATTTCCAAGTGATACAAATACAAGTGGATGGATTATGCATTAATCTATTTTCCCTTTTCTTTCTTTTTTTTTTCCTTTTTTGTGGGGGGGGGGGGGGGTCAAAATGTTAAAATTAATGGACCCATAAATAATTATATAATTATATGTGCAAGTTATTAAAATAATAAAGCGCTTTTAACTATAAATTAGCAATTTAATAGAGGACTTGTCAGTAATAGAGAACATGAATTTAATCAATACATGATCCTGTAATTTGTTATTGTTTGCAGAATTTATTAATGTGTTTAAAAATTTGCTGTAAAACTTTTGATTGTGACATTTTTTATGCCCTTCTTTCTAATGATATATATATTTCAATTTTCAGGAAGTTTGCAGCTACTCGTCCTCCACCAGACATGTATGATGTCAAGGTCATTAACATAGACGCATCAAAGGTTGGTACCCCTCCCCCGCAAATCTGTGAATTCCAAGGGGAAAAGAATAAATCAATCAATTAATCAATCAGTGAACAAGTATTGTGGGTAAAATTAAAAAGTCAGCTTCTTACATTGTAGATATTGCTGGAAATGTGAAACATGTACTGTCAATTTTCCAGATAGGAAAATGGGCAAAGTTGCAATGTAAAGGTCACATACAGGTATAAGATTTTGGCTATCTGAACATCTAACTTATGGGTTATAAAGTTATTGTTAAATGATCCGTTTATAAATTAAAAGAGGGCGAATGTTGACTTATGCATCCTAGTAATTGATAATGGAAATACATCTTTATCACCTATTCATTTGCTATTTGAAATACAGGGACAAATGCAAATATATGGAAGCTGCTCTGAAAGTGGAGGGTTGCTTGCTTCTATCGTGCTCTCTTTGAGACTGTTTCACAAAGATAATAAGTTGAACTTATCTCTAAGTTGGACTTTAAAATTATGGAAAGCTGTTGGCTTCTATGAAAATATTTTGTAAAAGTTTTTTCAAAAGGCATAGAATGTTGATTCAAATCATTCATATTTTCTATTATCAAGGAGATTTCATGTTCTTGACGTGGAATTTATAAAAGGTCTAAAATACTTGAATTTTTCGCTTTTGAATATATTTTATTTTAAGGCTACAAATGGCACTCCATAATGTTTGAGTCTAACTAAGAGTCAAGTTCGACTTACGATCTTTTGTGAAACACCCCCCAGATCTGCTAATGACTTTGCACATACATTTTCATGTACCCTTGATACACTGCTGGAAATGATCACAAATGTTTACACTGGAAATAATGTTTTTCTTAACATGTCACTTTTTCCAGATTCAGACGAGCGAGGAGCTGAGTAGAATAATGGGAGACATGGCTATACCCGATGCCTCTGGTCCATCCAGTAAGGGTGATGACCTTTTAGAATTGATGGACAGCGCATCATGAGGTCAAAGGTCACAGTAGTTTTAAGATTATATGTTGATGTATACATTCTGTAACGTGCCATGATGATGATCGATACGTGCGCTATATAAGAATCCAATATTATTATTATTATTATCATATCGTTCTATGAGACTGCTTGTGATATTTGTGCTGCTCCAGCTATCGAAAACTTCAGTCATTCTTATTTAAGTCTCAAGATTCAACAACGTATCTATTTATACATTCATCACAAGGGCTCTAAGAAAATCATTGTTCAGTGCCTGTTTGGCAATTTTTGCAAACTTGCCGTTGTGTCACTGGATTCGCGAACTACCGTAGACGCATACAGGAGATATATTTGTTCACGAAACCAGCTGATAAAGCTGTACACCATGTTGCTTCTGTATTGAAAGACACTGCCTAATATTTCTGACTGTCCAAGTGCATGTAGGGTAATTTAGATAGTAAATTGGCATTTCATACAAAAGCATCGTGCACATTTTATATGGACATATAATTGATGAACGTAGAATGTATATTGTATACATTACTTGGTAGATGACATGAATTTCATTTTGAATTTAGGAGCGATGTCAATTCTGCATACATGTTTATACAAAAATCTAGGAGTGGTAATTTGTTTTTCCTTTTTTGTGTGTGAGTGTTTGTTTTCAAGTTGCTGTCACTTTAAAAACACAGTACTAGCAGTTTGTTATAGCTATATGAAAGCTAATTACTTAAGAATTTCTACCACTCTTGCAACCTGTGTGAATTATATGCACTTATATGTAGATGATTGTGAAGTAAGAATAATGTCTGATGTTCAGAATGCAAATCAAAGAGGTTTTTATTTGAGAGTAGTTTTGTTTTGAAGGTAAATACAATGTTAATCAAGGTCATAGGTCATGAGGATTATATTGACTGTTATAGAGCCAGAAGGGTATTAACATACTGTAACACAGATCTAACACCCTTCTGGCTGTGAACAGACATCATGTTTGTTTGTTGTTTTTTTTTTTTTTCATAGTACAACTAGATGTACTAATACTGAAATCGTCAGTTAGGAGACAGAATAATCTTGTACAGACTTGACACACTTCTGGCTCCAGAGACAAAATATCGTTGAGTGAGGCATTTTCTCCACATCGCTACTCTCCACCCATGTGAACATCAAGGTCATAAATCTCATTTTTCTGCAAGGAAAATATATTTATTTACACTGGCACTTTAAGATATAATTATTGCACATGCTTTTACACAAACCCTGTATGAAAAATCCATCAATATTCAACAAAGAAAATTGAAATTTATGACAGGTTCAGTACAAAGTAAATGGGAGGGATGCTTAAAATGTGCAAATTTTTTACTTTGCAAACATATGATCAACTCTTACTGATCTGTTTCCTTAATGTTATTATTTTTTGCATTTATTAAGACCAACTTAGTAGATCACTATCATAAACTTTGGCTATTTTTATTTTGTTTTGTTTTGTTTTTGTTGTTGTTTTATATTTTTCATATGCATTATTTTGGGTGCGACATATTTTTCTTTGAAGATGGTGGAGTGTTCCAAGCTTCACGTAACTTTTGTGTGATGTTTTAAATAGTAGTTACCCTATAGAACCGTCCGTTGGGGTTTGTGCATTTACAATGTAGTCTTACGTGAAACAGATATTTCTGTTAATGTTTTGTTACTTTTCTGCCTGTATTAATAGACTTTCAACTATTCATGTATATTATATATCTGCTGAAGGGAATGTAAAAGAGACAAGATTTATATTTTTCCCAGGTCTAGATTACTTTAAATTGTAACTGTGTGTCCTCTGAAATTGAAAGTAGATTTAATTTGCTCATTTATTTTCATTGCATTTCCACTCTGATATGATGATCGTAATCAATGCCATGAGTATATTTCTCAATTAAAAGCGATCCAAAGATAGCAACTTGCACCAAACAGATTTATGTTCTTTCACTTTAGTTGGATTGAGTGATGAACAAAATAATTGCGGGATACATAGTTTAACTTAGTCATGAAACTTTGTTTTAACATCATAATAATCGTATATGCATTTTAAGGTTGTGTTTCCTTTTATGACATTCTAAAAAGTACTGTTTGATAAGAATGCTTGTAGCTTCAAATTGATATTCATGTGAAGCTATTGCTATCTTTTTTAATTGTATACAATGATATACAGTGATGGTTACCAATGGACCAAAATTGAATTTCATTTCATGAAACAATGACAATGATATTATGTTGAGCATTGTTGTCAGTTAATAACTTAAACTATATATATTTATACAGGTGTTTGAAGTATATACTGTATATATATTCAACATTCCAAAATTGTGTATTCCTGCCCAGACAGAAAGCCTCATTCTCTTCTATCAACGGTTATTCCACTGAGAATACTTAACATGGTTCCCATCAACTGCCTTCCCAGAGGGGAAAGTTAACTCATGTCTATTTTATCATGAAAGAATTCACCATATCTGGGGCTCGTTGCACAAAATTTACCATTGATTGTAACTTCGCCATTAATGGTAACTACCATGGAAATCTTGATTTTGATTGGCTGTTGAGCCCTGTTACCATGGTAGTTACCATTGATGGTAAAGTTACCATCAATGGTAGGTTTTATGCAATGGGGCCAAGATGATTTATTTTTTCCTGTTTCATTTCTGCCAGCTTTGAAGTGTTACTTGTGTCTCTTGCGTTTCTCCAACCCATCCAGTTCATGGGGTGATGTCTAGCTTGATTTTATGATCTTTCTTTGGTCTTAACTCAGCTCTGTGAAGTACCTTTATTGAGCCAGAGCCAGAGGGTATTAATTGTGTTACCGCATGAGTTGACATTCTTCTTACTCCCAAACAGAGCTAGTTGAGTCCATAACATTACTTTTATCCCTTCAAAATTCCTCAATCTTTCATAAAAAGCTAAAACTCAAGTAGTCAATAGTTTGTTATGATGTCACAATACCTTGAAATATCTCGATTGAATCAATCCATCCATTGCATGTAGAATCTTGTTTCGGCTTTTCTTTTTAAGTCAAATGTGATAATCTGAAATTTACACCTTGATTTTTGTTCATTATGATTAGAGGTAGAAATATTTCTGATCGAGTTCAATATGTTGTCGCTTGTTGGTGTCACTTGAAAGAATATTACCCTTGATGTGAGCCTCTGCTTAGCAGTGAGGGCATTATCTCCATGTAAAATAATATGACTTTCATCTTAAGTATTTATAAGAACATACCATTTATATGTACTATACGGTTAGCACTGCCTGTATGTCGAAATATATGTTATTATCCTTCACATTAAATGTATGGCAACATTTGACATTGTGGACAATTCTATGTGCTGAATATATATATTTTATGATGTTTGTGCAGTGAATGTTACAGTGGGCACTGTAAAAAAAACTTCTTGCATTCTATAGTTAATAAATTATGAACAAAACCATTTAGAGTGAGTGACTTTTTGTTAGTGTTGTGTTAGTAATGAATGGTATGGTTAGATTACAGTGGACTTGATAATTAGAGGGCAACGCCAAGTGAAGAATTTAATTTCATATTAGAAAAAGAAACAAAATCGTCACTACATTTTATGTACTATTAATAACATACATTTTATAACGCCTCTTTAATTTATCATGAAGTAAATGTTATTTTATTGTTATTCTCTAGATATGCTGGAAAAAAATGACATCGAGGTCAATCCTAGAGATGGTTTCAATTTGAACCGGGGCCCTAATGTCCTTTGAGAATGGGTACCTGGCAATAAGCCCGTTCACGGTTGCAGTCTGAGCATGAGCAGATAAAGGTCTTTGCAGAACAAATTTTGAAATAGAGTGGAGAAGTGTGACGTCATCACAAATCTATTTTTGGAATTTCTCAATTTTTTTTCTTCATTTTACGAAAGAGTATCAAAAATAATGTCCGAATGTCGAAAACCAAATGAATGGGCTGAGATATGATCATCTGAATAAATAGATTTCCTATTTTGCTCTGGTTCATAACATTCCGAGCTGGTCTATTGCTTAAGTCATATTAATTGCAGAGCCCTCATTAAAGGTAAAGACCAGTTATGGTCATGCGATTGCATTGTGAAAGAAACGTTGTGGAATCGATCAGAAAAGGTTGATCATCTAGCATGTAGCATCTGCAAGGTTCTGGAATCATCAAAATGATAAGAAATTTGGCCCATTCTTCGTTAAGTTACAAGCACTATACACAGAAAGATGTATATGGGACTACCCTATATCTCTCACAGACCATGAGAGAAACAAATTTACCAAATATATGAATTAGTAGGCGGTTTCCCGGCAAATTTTTTATCATCATATATTAGTCAAAACATATTCTTTCACATGATTGGTAATGAGAGCTTCCATTTCATTTTTTGAAATTGGGACATTTCCAATACTGGTCTTTACCTTTAATACTAATGAGTCCATGGATAAACGACATTATTCGTATTAAGGTATTATTACCCATCAAAAAAAGTATTGATTATAAACAAAAACATTCATATCTAATAATAAAAATTTGCTCGAAGTTAAAAAACGGGTGAAATGAGGGAAAAATTTAATTTTAATTTCCCATCAGAAGCTTAGATATTGAACGATTTTTTTAGCAGTGTGCCTTCACAACGGGGCTTCAAACTGAACGAAATGCCCGATACATACTGGCGGTTTCAGTCAGGGGGGGGGGGGACTTCGGGAAAATAATAAGACTTGGTGTGCGTCCCCATAATTGGACTATAAACGCTCTGCCACGATCTTTGGCGGAATTATCGCTAGTCATAAGATCGCTAGTCATATCACGAAAAGGGGCCACTATTCATAGAGGCTTTAATAATTAAGGACCGTTATTCGTAAGGAGCGCTATTCATAATGTGAGATAACGGTCGCCATTCATAATTCACATTGAGGGTCATTACTCTTAAGGATCTCTATTCATATACGAAACTGGGGTCGCTATTCATAAATATGAAGAGGGGCGCTATTCATAATTAGATTGGGGTCAGTACTCATAAGGACCGCTATTCATAATACGAGAAGAGGGTGAATATATGGAGAATTTTCATGAATCATAAACTACCATTTATTTTATTTTAAAATAATAATAATTAACAAATCACATGGCGTATGATAGCCTACATTCCACGTGACGTACGAGTCCGACCATCTCTAAAAAAAAATTCACGTTACACAAAAACTTTCTCTTATCTGCTGTAAGATTATGCTTTTCCACGCTTATTTCGAATTATCTACCGTTAGTTCAAAATATAAAAAGAAAGCTGAAGCGATTGCCCATAAATTTGCGAAATCCGCCTACCAGACCAAATAAAAATGCGCAGTGCCATAATGTCTTCCATTGCGCAATAATGATAAGCCATGCTTATAACACCGCTCAGGCCACAATCATACGTATGCACCTATACAAGTGCCAAGCTATAATAGGTGCCCCCCCCCCCCCAGTGAAAACTTTTGTGTGCGCCAACAAGCTCCCATTATATAGTGCTGAGATCTGTGCTAGCGAAGGGAGTTGCATCAAGTTGGAGACCAGTGTCGGGCGCAAGATCAGATCACTCTTCCTAGAGCTGTGGCTTTAATAGATTTGGAACCATTTAACGTTGCTTTTTGTAGCATAGCAAACGATTTGTGTTATAACAGCATCGCTATATACCATTTTAATATCATTAGTTTTCTCAGTGAAACAAAATTAAAAGGGTGGAACCAAATTTCGAGGAGATTGATTAAAGATGTCGTCCAACAATAACAACAAGTTCTGTGTGGTGGTTCTACTGGTGTGCTGTGCCTTCATCACAGCCACGGTGGGCGTGGTCCTCAAGCCCAATTGTAAGTATATATTTATGTATGTTGCCTAATTTCTTGGCTTCATGTAATTTGTATGATCCAGGAGCGTCCGAGAGTAATGTGGGAGTGTGGAGGAGGGGGGCATTGGTAGTTGCCCCCACCTACATAACTACAGGATAAGGACTATTGTGCTCTGTAATAATAGTACATCAATAATCATATAATTGGGTATAAGGCGGGGGTTCGAAAGGGGATGTTTTTATACACACTAAAAAATAATGGTACAAATTTGCACCCTATAGGGTACAGACCGCTGCTACAATAGCGGCCACCTATAGGGTGCAATTTTGCAACCCCAATTGGGGTGCAAAATTGCACCCTTATTTGGGGTGCAGACTTGCACCCTTAGAGGTGCAAAAAGAGTACCCTTAGAGGTGCAAACGAGCACCCTTAGGGGTGCAGACCGCTGCTACAATAGCAGCCACCTATAGGGTGCAATTTTGCACCCCCAATTGGGGTGCAAAATTGCAACCCTATTTGGGGTGCAGACTTGCACCCTATAGGTGGCTGCTATTGTAGCAGCGGTCTGCACCTCTAAAGGAGCTCGTTTGCACCCCAGTTTGGGGTGCAGACTTGTCCCATATAGGGTGCAGGGGTTTGGGGTCCACAATGTTCCCTAAAGGATGCATACATACACCCCTTGGGATGCAAGCCAGCACCTTTAGGGGTGCAGATTTGCAACCTTTATATGGTGTATAATTGCACATTGCAGGGTGCACATGCACTCTTTACATCACATTATAACCAATAAAATCATAAGATCAAACAATTTGTTTTCATATCAAAATCACATTTTTATTGACAACATGAATGACCGGTTTCAGTTTCCACTATGCATAGTGGGTAAGAGAAAATAACCACATATGACACTGTTGCCATATATATGCGGTTTACCTTCTGCAATATCTAGACAAAAGTAACAAGTAATATAAAGAAGTAATACAATGTGCGTGTAATATACCATGTTGGGCTGTTGGCAAACATCAACATTCTAATTTGAGGTACAAAAAAGGTAAAATCTACAATTATACCTTTGAATACAGTATGCTTTTCTTGCATGAAGTAAAGGCAAGAGAACAAACTTTGACAGCTTTAGTCAGGGAATCAACACCAATTTATTCTTATAAATGAAGATGACTACTGAAAATGTTATCTTCATTTATTTCATCAATTCCACCAAATAATTTGGGGACAGCAAATATATTGTACAAAAACTAAATTAATACTACTCTACAGGACATACAAGAATACTAGAATGCACATCGATTGGAACTTATAGTAGTAAAAGAACAGTAATCACTTCTGGGCCCCGTTGCAGAAAGAGATACAATCGATTGTAAGTCCGATCACGTGTTCTACATGCGGAAATCTGATTTCGGCTTGGAGAAGAAAACCTCTCTCTGTCACTATTTACAACAGAAATATAAGATGAGAAATGTAACTATTCCCATGATCAAGATATCTCTTTGAGCTGCATATCAGATGTAGTTAGTTGCTTTATTATTGCATAAGGATACAAAAATCCTATTTTCTGTCTTGATAAAAATATAAGCACACACAAAACATACAATACTTTGGTAAATAGCACAGTTCAATTATTTAAAAAAAAATGTATTCCTATAGCCCAAGAAAATACACCTGTAAATGTGAATAGAAAAACAGTAAATTTGTAATACTTTGGAACCCGACATACATACAATGTAGTTAGTCAATTTCACATGTGCATGTTTTATTTATTTCATAAATGTTCAGCCCTGATACAAGATATAAAGAGGTACATTCAATATATGATATTCTAATAAATGTATCAGGTTAAGCTAGCCTCAAGACAGAAATAAACACTAACCAGTTCATACCCGTGCATTTGACTAGCACAATTACTGTATTCCTGCACAGCCTATGTTTGCTTCTCTTAATTAATATAGACATAGGGCTCCTTGGCTCCAATCAAATAGTTCAACAAATCACCAGAAACATTATGTCCCTTTCATCAGACGAATAAAAGGAAAGGACATATTACTCGTGACTTTTTGGATTCAAATCCAGAGTACAATCTGACAGTTTTATCAGTTCTCGTGACAACAATAGTCATATCAACATCACCTTTCTTACCATGCTGTTTCTTTGCAGCTTTTAGCTTTGCCTGTAAATGACTATTCCTCTGTTGTAGAACTTCAATTTGTTTTTGCTTTGCAACACACCCAAGGCAGGTACATAATCTGTTATCACAATATAGCCCATAATTGTGATCAGTGAGATGTGCACCAACAATATGATCAGATATTTTCTCCCTATTACTTGAAGCTGTCTCATCAATTTCTTGGTGCTCATCAAGAGTAGAGGATCCATGAAAGTCAGGATCTCCTGTCAAGTCGACATCCTTTCTCTTCCGTTTACATGTTGATTTTCTCTTTTCTTTACTTGAAGCTGTCTCACTAACTTCTTGGTGCTCCTCAGCCGTAGAGGTATCATGTGAGTCAGGATCTCCTGTCAAGTCGACCCGCAAGTCGACTATCTTTCTCTTCCGTTTACTTGTTGATTTCTTCTTTTCTGGGCACTGAGGTCTTTCTCTTGGAGGCAGACGAGGAGATTTATGTGAAGACTATGTTGTGCTGAGCTGTATCCCAGATTCATTGTTGGGTCTGGCCACGCTGCACTAGGTTGTCCATCTCGAAAGTGATATGAGCAAACCCTATCTCCATACGTTGGTTCCCAGTTTTTGCCATTTGGACGTTTTCGATTTATCGCCTTTATCCTTCGTCGAAGGCCGTCTGCATCTTTAGTTTGCAAAGAAATTGGGGTACAGCTCTCGACGTTTATGGCATTCGAGTTTAGATGCTGTATTCCCTTCAACAGAAAGGGATAATCAATCAATTTAAAGATTTCCTACACTTAAGTATTAGTATTGTTATCATATTATTTAAATCGTCAGTGATTATGTTATGAATTGTTATTTTAACCCAAGTCGGAGTTGGGGTACAGCTTACGAAATGTATGGCATTCGAGTTTAGATACTGTATTCCCTTTAACAGAAAGGGATGCTCAATCAATTTAAAGATTTCCTACTAACACTTTTGTTCAACCAAACGAGTCACGGACTGATTGGTATAACAATGATACGATACGAATAAGAAATGAATAAGAAACTAAAGTTATAAAAAATGTATGATTTGTCGTTTATCAAACCGAAATTCTATTCATGATTTTGAGTTTATTTTCCACAGATCATTAGGCCTATGGGTTGCCAAATTGGCAACAATTATTGCAGTTGTGTCACAAACATTAGACCTACCCATTTCAAGCATCAAACTCAAATTGTGCATTACATTTTATGATAATAATCTTCTCTAATATCTAATTTGGCCGATAAAATTGATTTGACCAAATAATATAGTTGGACACAAAAGCCTAATATTGTTAGGTATTTATAAATCAAATATTGCAAAGAGTTTTTCCTATTAAACAGCTTTCTCATTCTTTCTCTCTTTCTCCCTCTCTCTCTCTCTCTCTCTCTCTCTCATTCTCTCTCTTTCCCTCTTTCTCATTATCTCTCCCTCTCTCTCATTCTCCCTTTCTCATTATCTCTCTCTCATTCTCTCTCTTTCTCTCTTTCTCATTCTCTCTCTCTTTCTCATTATCTCTCTCTGTCCCTCTTTCTCATTATTTTTTTTTCTCTCTCTCTCATTCTCTCTTTCTTATTATCTCTCTCTCTCATTCTCTCTCTCTCTCTCTCTCTCGCTATCTTCCTCTGTTACTCTTTTACAGCTTCTGATGATGAGGTTTGGCTCTTCGCGGTTAGTGACTATGACAACCGATTGGAATATCTGTAAGTAAACACTCGTTTCTAAAGATATGTGACTATATTTTGTACCCAGTATGCAGGTCTGGGATGTAATCAAATAGATGGAAATATAGTTACTCCCCAGATTTAATTTTAATGACAGACTAAGCGTGATAAACTTGGACATCCAAGTAGACCAACAGCCCACAGAATAAACAATTAATTTCGAGGAAAAAAAGAAGAAAAAAAGCTTCTGTCTTTCCATCATTATGATTTTCAGTCATTCAGATATATCTTTGACCCCTATACTAGAACTACTGTATACCGAGCAATATTTGCTAACAATTTCTTTACCTTTTTAAATTCTATTTTTTGTATGTGTTTCATAGTTACCTTAATGCATTGATTTCTTTGCAAAGCCAATTCTCCACTTCATTTTTTGTTTTCTTTTATTTCAGGGACCCTGTAACACATCAGATCAAAGGATACAATGCCGACATCATCGATGCAGGTATCCAAGGAATTTTTACATCTTTGTGATCAGGGCTCAAAATAAATTTTTGTCCACGGGGGCTCTTCCAACAAAAAAGAGCCCCCGTGAGCCTTCTCACGGGGCTCTTTTAGTGCTGGCGGGGGCTCTTGTTTTAATACAAATTTCCATTGGATTGGTACCCATGAAACTCCAAAAAAAAAAAAAAGAGAGAGAGAAGGAAGGAAAAGGAAAAAAGGAGAGCTAAAAGGGACCAAAAAAGAGGAAGAAGAAACAAAAAGGGTGAAAAGAATTTCGATGCGGTGTTCGAGTAGAATTCTGTGAGATGATGATATACTTTCTCGTAGCTTGATATGACGAAGTGTCTCTATCCAGATATCTGTTGATAGTATTATAGAATATAGAAGCCTGAAATGACCTTCTGCTCGTAACCGACAAGTCACCGCATTAAAATTAAATTGCAAATAGTGTTCAACAACACGCTGGTAGATGAAACTTTCTAATATTCGAAGATATATGACCCTGAAACCATATTGTTTCATTATTTTTTATTCAATCAAACAACGTCAAAGAATTGATTTATCATCGCTCTTCAATTTATTATTTCACCTTTGTATGTACTTTCATTCTTATGCATCATGAAAGAACACTGAATTGGATTCGTCAATGTTTGTTTTGATTAATTTCCTCCCCTTTCCTTCTCCCTGTTTAATACTGATAAAATTTTCAATTTTTCTTAATCAAGGCAAAATATTATTTTCATATTTTCTTTATGCAAGACAGGGAGAGAGAGAGAGAGAGAGAGAGAGAGAGAAAGAATATGTTAAGTGAGAATTATCGAGTACAACTATGAATTGCATCCTTTTCAATATTATTCAATTCGCTGAAAATATTCAGAATATGAATATGATAAATCCACATAATACGCCGACGCTGTTCAACGCATTCAACGCTCCAATCATAGCCCATATGCCAACGCACCATATTTATCAAATATGAAAAGATTTTTAAATGAAATTTGAAGAAAAATCAAATTTACAATGCACTGACAGGCATTTTGTTGAAATCATGAATTCTCTGTGACTGGCTTAGCACTAGTTTCTGAGGGACCATTCACTGAAGAGGTGATAAAGGGAAGTAAAATTGAGGAAAAAGTAAAGAAAAGAAGGGGGATATCAGTTGCAATTTCCCCGCCAACCAGTTGCGGATCGGGATGGGGGTGGGGCAAAAGGCCTTTCCCTCCCCCGCCCCCGCTAAAAAAAAAGAGAGAAGGAAGGAAAAGGAAAAAAGGAGAGCTAAAAGGGACTAAAAAAGAGGAAGAAGAAAAAAAAAGGATGAAAAGAAGGGGAGATAGATCAGTTGCGATTAATCCCGCCAGCAACGTGTGGAGAAGGGTGGGGGCCGCCCCCCCCCCCCTGGGAAAAAAAGAAGGGGGAAAAAAGGGGGAAAGATTTTCTTGTTTTTGTTGAAGATGGTGTTCCTTTCCGACTTGTATCATAGAGAAACAATAGTTTAAGTTAAGTCTAACGTTAACGTTAATTTGTTATTAAAATGTAGAGTACAGCCCTTGGCCTTAGGCCTAATTTAGGTCGTAACTGTTACTGTTTGAAATCTAAAGTAAAATTAGACGGTTTTCATGGTTAGACCAAGTAATTGAGAAAAAAAAAGTTTACCCGTCACTGAGACCAGGTCAATCAATCTTCTAGATCCATTATAAGGGTTTAACGTTAGTAGATATAAGGTAGATGCAGGCGCGGATCCAGAGGGGTGAGCGGGCCTTACCCCCCCCCCCCCCCTTCCTCAAAGAGAGAGAGAGAGAGAGAGAGAGAGAGAGAGAGAGAGAGAGAAGGAAAAGAGGGAAAGGGAAAGAGGAGAGAAAGGGAAAGAAAGAAGAGGAAGAAGAAAAGAAAAGGGGGAAGAAGGAGATCGGGGGGCGAAAGGGCCTTGCCTCCCAGGCTAATGCCTCCCCCCAATAAAAAAAATAAGAGAGAAGGAAGGAAGGAAATGGAAAGAAAAAAGGAAAAGAGGAGATAAAGGGAAGGAAAATTGAGGAAGAAGTAAATAAAAGAAGGGGGATATCAGTTGCCATTTTCCTGCCAAAAAGTTGAGGATGGGGGTGGGGCAAAAGGCCTTTGCCTCCCCCCGCCCCCGCCCCCGCCCCCGTCCCCGCTAAAAAAAAAAGAGAGAGGGAAGGAAAGAAAAGGGAAAAAGGAGAGCTAAAAGGGACCAAAAAAGAGGAAGAAGAAAAAAAAAGGGTGACAAGAATTTCGATGCGGTGTTTGAGTAGAATTCTGTGAGATGATATACTTTCTCGTAGCTTGATGTGACGAAGTGTCTCTATCCAGATATATGTTGATAGTATTATAGAATGTATAAGCCTGAAATGACCTTCTGCTCGTAACCGACAAGTCACCGCATTAAAATTAAATTGCAAATAGTGTTCAACAACACGCTGGTGGATCAAACTTTCTAATATTCGAAGATATATGACCCTGAGACCATATTATTTCATTATTTTTTATTCAATCAAACAACGTCAAAGAATTGATTTATCATCGCTCTTCAATTTATTATTTCACCTTTTAATGTACTTTCATTCTTATGCATCACGAAAGAACACTGAATTGGATTCGTCAATGTTTGTTTTGATAAATTTCCTCCCCTTTTCTTCTCCCTGTTTAATACTGATAAATTTTTTCAATTTTTCTTAATCAAGGCAAAATATTATTTTCATATTTTCTTTATGCAAGACAGGGAGAGAGAGAGAGAGAGAGAGAGAGAGAGAGAGAGAAAGAATATGTTAAGTGAGAATTATCGAGTACAACTATGAATTGCATCCTTTTCAATATTATTCAATTCGCTGAAAATATTCAGAAAAGAATATGATAAATCCACATAATACGCCAACGCTGTTCAACGCATTCAACGCTCCAACCATAGCCCATATGCCAATGCACCATATTTATCAAATATGAAAAGATTTTTAAATGAAATTTGAAGAAAAATCAAATTTACAATGCACTGACAGGCATTTTGTTGAAATCATGAATTCTCTGTGACTGGCTTAGCACTAGTTTCTGAGGGACCATTCACTGAAGAGGTGATAAAGGGAAGTAAAATTGAGGAAAAAGTAAAGAAAAGAAGGGGGATATCAGTTGCAATTTCCCCGCCAACCAGTTGCGGATCGGGATGGGGGTGGGGCAAAAGGCCTTTCCCTCCCCCGCCCCCGCTAAAAAAAAAGAGAGAAGGAAGGAAAAGGAAAAAAGGAGAGCTAAAAGGGACTAAAAAAGAGGAAGAAGAAAAAAAAAGGATGAAAAGAAGGGGAGATAGATCAGTTGCGATTAATCCCGCCAGCAACGTGTGGAGAAGGGTGGGGGCCGCCCCCCCCCCCCCCCCTGGGAAAAAAAGAAGGGGGAAAAAAGGGGGAAAGATTTTCTTGTTTTTGTTGAAGATGGTGTTCCTTTCCGACTTGTATCATAGAGAAACAATAGTTTAAGTTAAGTCTAACGTTAACGTTAATTTGTTATTAAAATGTAGAGTACAGCCCTTGGCCTTAGGCCTAATTTAGGTCGTAACTGTTACTGTTTGAAATCTAAAGTAAAATTAGACGGTTTTCATGGTTAGACCAAGTAATTGAGAAAAAAAAAGTTTACCCGTCACTGAGACCAGGTCAATCAATCTTCTAGATCCATTATAAGGGTTTAACGTTAGTAGATATAAGGTAGATGCAGGCGCGGATCCAGAGGGGTGAGCGGGCCTTACCCCCCCCCCCCCTTCCTCAAAAGAGAGAGAGAGAGAGAGAGAGAGAGAGAGAGAGAGAGAGAGAGAGAAGGAAAAGAGGGAAAGGGAAAGAGGAGAGAAAGGGAAAGAAAGAAGAGGAAGAAGAAAAGAAAAGGGGGAAGAAGGAGATCGGGGGGCGAAAGGGCCTTGCCTCCCAGGCTAATGCCTCCCCCCAATAAAAAAAATAAGAGAGAAGGAAGGAAGGAAATGGAAAGAAAAAAGGAAAAGAGGAGATAAAGGGAAGGAAAATTGAGGAAGAAGTAAATAAAAGAAGGGGGATATCAGTTGCCATTTTCCTGCCAAAAAGTTGAGGATGGGGGTGGGGCAAAAGGCCTTTGCCTCCCCCCGCCCCCGCCCCCGCCCCCGTCCCCGCTAAAAAAAAAAGAGAGAGGGAAGGAAAGAAAAGGGAAAAAGGAGAGCTAAAAGGGACCAAAAAAGAGGAAGAAGAAAAAAAAAGGGTGACAAGAATTTCGATGCGGTGTTTGAGTAGAATTCTGTGAGATGATATACTTTCTCGTAGCTTGATGTGACGAAGTGTCTCTATCCAGATATATGTTGATAGTATTATAGAATGTATAAGCCTGAAATGACCTTCTGCTCGTAACCGACAAGTCACCGCATTAAAATTAAATTGCAAATAGTGTTCAACAACACGCTGGTGGATCAAACTTTCTAATATTCGAAGATATATGACCCTGAGACCATATTGTTTCATTATTTTTTATTCAATCAAACAACGTCAAAGAATTGATTTATCATCGCTCTTCAATTTATTATTTCACCTTTTAATGTACTTTCATTCTTATGCATCACGAAAGAACACTGAATTGGATTCGTCAATGTTTGTTTTGATAAATTTCCTCCCCTTTTCTTCTCCCTGTTTAATACTGATAAATTTTTTCAATTTTTCTTAATCAAGGCAAAATATTATTTTCATATTTTCTTTATGCAAGACAGGGAGAGAGAGAGAGAGAGAGAGAGAGAGAGAGAGAGAAAGAATATGTTAAGTGAGAATTATCGAGTACAACTATGAATTGCATCCTTTTCAATATTATTCAATTCGCTGAAAATATTCAGAAAAGAATATGATAAATCCACATAATACGCCAACGCTGTTCAACGCATTCAACGCTCCAACCATAGCCCATATGCCAATGCACCATATTTATCAAATATGAAAAGATTTTTAAATGAAATTTGAAGAAAAATCAAATTTACAATGCACTGACAGGCATTTTGTT